CCTCTAATCAAATCCCGAAATATCGCAAACTCTAGACTTAAAACAATAAAGATTTGATATAAATATTAAGCCCTGGCGTTTGCAACTCATTTGAAACACACATAAAAAGCCTTTTAATCTGTTTTTATAAAATTGAATGAATTAGACGTTTGGGATATTTTGAGAGATGAGAAGCGTTTAAGACATGAAGTGCTCGCAAAAGAAAGGTTTTTCAAAAGTGCTTCAATTAATGCTATGATATAATAGTTTTCTTATTATTATTTCGGCATAAGTTCAGGAAAAGGCATTACAGGTATTACTGGCAGCGCTTTGTGTTTGTCTATGGCATCGACTGATAGCCAGAAGCATACAGAGATCGCCCACACATACAGTAATGCAAAAAATTATATTGCATTACAAGTGTTGTGTTGTTGTCGGCCCTGAACTCGAGTGGCTGTATGTCTGCAATTGAGATCAGATCAGGCGATCACTCCAGACATCTCTGACTAAGAAATAGGCATTTCGTTAGTATTGATGTATTGTTTTATCGGCTATTCTATCGCCGATTCCGATGCAACACAACAACAGTTAGAGTGAAAAAAGTTTTGAATTTATTTTTAATTTAAAATTAATAAACTTTTTTCTACGAAAAGCTCGCTGTTTGAAAACGATTATAATTAAGATAAGAGAGAGATTCAACAAAAAAGTCTTTAAAACGTCAACCGTTTGTTATGTTAAGCGAAACTTTACTGTTTTTATGGACTAATATATTATATTATAATATTGCATTTGATTGCAAGCATATAGTCTATAGAAATGAATAACGATTGTAATTATTCTCTGTTTGTGAGGTCTCGAGACTGGCATGTCTTCAGTCGATCTCTCTCTCTCTCTCTCTCTCTCTCGTATTGTGTGTTTGAGTGCATTCTTCTAATGATTGAATGCTAGCTCTGGCACTAGTATTGGACATGTCTTAAGCATTCTTATTATGATTGAATACCACCACAAAATACAGAATACTTGTACTACTATTGGACAGGTATTAAGTCTGGTTCAAAGAAAACACGAGAAACACAGAGAGAGGGAGAGATAGGAGAGAAAGAACATATGAGGGATAGGGAGGCCAGGGAGAGAGAGAGAGAGAGAGAGAGAGAGAGAGAGCGAGGGATTCACATAAATTTAGTGGTAATTTTAAAACACTAACAATAAAGTATACATTAATTGCATATTTTTGTTCACTTTCTCAGCCAAATCACATGATTTATCAATTTGTTTATGGCTTTGATTGTCATGTTTTTCATGTATTTAATCATAGCCTTAGAATATGATTGTATTTGTATTCTTATAATCAATGGGTTCACCAAAGAATAACTTAAAAAGTATTTCACAATTGAATCGTCAAATGATTGAGTACTGGAGACACACTAACCATCATTACCTCATAGTAATGGCTTATTTGCCCACAACTCCATTGTTCGCATCCATTGCCTATTTTATAGCTCAAACACCAACTTCTGGTGTAATTTATTTCAATAATTTGCTTTTAATATTTACTGCAAAACGGAATAATAACTGTCTGTTTTGTTTTTTCCGACATAAATATAGAGTTCATTGTATTCATGCGAACACTACAATAAATTTAATATGATTGTAAAATTTTGATTTCAATAAATATACAGAAATTTATTACAAATATTACAATCCATTTCAATAGAGATATAAAAATACTAATAAAGAAATAGTAATTTCCTATAAATTATGACTACATTTTTATCAATTCTTATATTCATGTGACTGTGAGTGGGAGAGAGAGTGAGTGTGAGAGAGATGTAAAAATTTTGTTTGAATCAAATCTGAATTTTTTATTTAAATGAAAAATGTGAGAATTTTATATGTATTTTGGCGCTTCGTTTCAAATTAGATGTTAGACTCGAGTAATGCTTTACAATATTTTTTTAGTCGTCACTGAATTTGCATAAATAAGTTTATATTTGTTTTGCCGGAGAGAGAGAGAGAGAGAGAGAGAGAGAGAGAGAGAGAGAGAGAACGATTCTGTGTGTAAGTCTAGCGTAAGTATAACTGAGCTTTCATTGCATACATAATGTATTGAATAATATATAATAGCATTGCGTTAGAGTTAACCCAACGTCTACTGTATTTGCAGCACAAAATAAAAACAAATCTGTGTCTACAATATTGGTGGTGCAGGCCATAGGAATGGCATTAGAAATACAAAATTCATGTATTTTTTGCGAGTGCCAACCATTTCTTATGTATGTACTGAATATGTAATAATATTGTCATCGAAAGCGAAATAAAAAAGAGTAGTATTTCTGAATTCAAGCCATAACTCCAAGTACTTGAATATGAGAGATAAATATTTGTTCAATAAATCAAATTTATTGGGATTTGATTGCCATATACTCTCTCTGCGGTACACACTATATGTTTCCAGTTATAAGTTATATGACTATTGGAGTCAATGTAAACATTGAGAACGAGTTTTTTATTCTCGATATTCATATCATATTCTCTTAGCATTCAAAAGGAGTAAAAGCCATAAAAATGTTAGGTTTTAAAGTTATTTGCAATAATTCATACTTTTTTATATTAATTGTTTTTTACGTTTTTGTCTCTCTATTACTGCATTGCATTAACATTTGGAAAAGTGCTCACAAAATAAAACCGGAGACTCATATTAGATATGATTTGGTAGGGCTTATAGTCTTATAATACTGTACTGTGTTTTATAATATCATGAGTTGGAGATTATTGATCAGATTGTAAGGGAGAATTAAGTATTAAAAAGTATTGTATAATAAGCTAATGAACTTAATTTCAGTTATAATACTCGGAGAGAGCGAATGCATTGATTCATGTTTTGTCAAAACACACTCTCATACGAAATAGTACTGTCTTTTTGATTCAAATTTTAATATCGATTCTCATGAGAGACACAACGATTTCTCTGATTAATATTTAGTCAAAACTTAAATTATTTAATTGAGTTTTTTGCTTTGGAGTTTGGGTTGTAATGAGAAGTCATACCCAAGTCTAACATAATCTGTGTTCCCATTCCTAACAGCAAAACGCGTGAATTGATTGCGAAAATCGATTCCTTCAAACGCTTCTGGATTTTTAAAAACTCAAAATCAAACAAAACTTATGGTCACATAAACTATCAATTGTATGGTTATAGTCATAAATGTTGAATAAGAATCGTAGTATATCTCTATGTGTGTGTATTTAAAGCGCCGGTATGTGTAAGTGAAGGGCCATTATATGCCTTAAACAAACTACTATGACTTATGAGCAAAATATTTGCAAAAACGGAATAACATTTGTAAACATATAATAGAGAAATGCAGTGAAAGGAAGAATTTGAGAGCAGTTTTGTGTAGCGATTGTCTGATAACCACTAATGGCTTTAAAGGCCCAATGGTTTGACTGAACACTCGGAGTCACACTTTCTCTTTAAATTGAGCTCTCATTCAATGCAAATAACGCGTAACTCTTGAAACGCGTGCAAAACGTATGGAATCGCATCATCCGAGAGAGAGAGAGAGAGAGAGCGAGAGAGATGACTTGAAGGCTAGTGATGCGATCGTACCGTATGTAAGGGAGGACAGGCAGGGACTATGATATGCAGTGTCTCGAGTATAATATGTTTTTGTATATTTAATTGTTGGAGAAGTTGTGGAGCACTTTTGGAGTACCAGAAGTACTGGATGTATGGCATGCATGTAAGCATGTATAGTATGTATTGAGAGCACACATACCAGGAAACCAATGTGCCATTAAGTGTTGGCGAAACACACATCCATCCAAACACTACACATTCAAACACAATGCCAGAGGTATTAGAGAGAAGAGCAGCTAATATTCAAAAGACTAAAGAATGTGTGTTTCGAAAGTTTTCATACTTCTCACTGTTGGAGCTCTTTCTGCAACAAACTATAGCACTAAACACCACCACTAATGAAAACAATGCTAACAATTTTTGTTGCCATTCAACCAACCAGACCGGTCACGATTACTGCCATCACCAGCAGCTCTCTCTCTCTCTCTCTCTCTCTCTCTCATCGACTTTTCTGGGAGAAGAGAGAATTCTCTGACTTATAGCGAAAATGATCGCCGATTTTGAACGTATTGTACTGTATATGAGATATACTGGTATTCTGTAGACTAAGTCCTGTATATTCTGTGAGTTTAAGGCTATGATAGCGTCAATACGATCCCTACTTTTGGCAGCGCTTTTGGGTTTAAGTTAGCGTTTGAGTCGCGCTATCAGTAGTTGGCCATCAGTACAGTGTGTTTGAGAGTCGACACACAATTGGAACCGGCGTTTAGACATTTACCGCCGCTTTAAGTCACAAAAAAGAGAAAAGAAAAATAGAGATCCCCTCCAGTGGTGGTGGTGTACACACACTCGGCTATGAAATAGGCACTGCATGTCAAATGTATTGAATGTGTGGGAGAAGTATGTGTTTTTCATTCTGTTGTGTGACTATAATTTTGGTGAAATACGGGCAACAAATGTATATTAACTCGCAGTCATTGGTGTCTGTAAACTATGGCATACAATGGCATATATGAAAAGACACTCAATCTTTAGGATCGGTTAGCGTTCGCCTTAACATACAATCTATTATTATTAGCCCTTTTCGCGTATGCCTTCCCAGCTCTCTCTCTCTCTCTCTCTCTCTCTCTCTCTCTTTGCATACAATAGTGTTTGAGCACAAGTATGAACAACAGAGATGACAGTCGCCATGAAATATAGCCATCGAAGAGTCTATAATAACAAAGCTTTAGCAGAAGCGAGAGAGAGAATGAGATGAGCTTTTGGTGATAGATATCTCAAAAGTTCCCTTCAGTTCTCTGGTACAGCACTGGCACTGGCAGTAGTAGTACACCAGTGCTGTCAGTAGTAGTGATACAGTCAAGTGATACACGACTCGGCCCTAAAGCGACAACATTTATACGTTTTGATGAATTTAATCAGATCTGCAGTTCAGTTGTGTTCAGAAGCAGAGCACAGACTCCTCTATGCCATCGCTGGCATCAGCACTGGTAGTATAGCAGTGCTGAGACTCTTGCAGCACATCCACAGCATAAATCCTAGACAACTATAACAATACACACATCGCTTTCAACACACGTCTCGACAATCATTTGTTTGCTTTGCTTTTCATATCAAAAGAAATTTTTTTTCGATTTTCTCTCAGTTTTTTGCAAACTCTCCGAAAGGTTTTTCGCCAGAATTATATAATAATATGTAAATTCGTGTTTAATGTGTAGAATAGAGAGTGTTGGGGGTAATGGTTGTGCCCCGAAGAGGTTAGTGGTTGACATGTAAATTGCCAATAATGTTGTATGAGGTGCACACCACCATACAGACATACATACACTACTATGAGGTGCGCCTACAGATAAACTCCAAATTATGAACCCTTCAACTGACGCATCACTTATCAAAAAAGCCCTAACTTTTGAAAAAATAATAATTCTTTTCTTTGCGCTGGTATTCAAAGCATAATTTATGTCGATCTCAGATCTGACTCCTCGGGCGGACTTAGGAGTGACTTATAGCGCAACCATCTCTGCCATGGAGTGGTTATGCTGTGCGAAGGCTATGGCTATGAGATAATGCATTAAATAACAGCACAGCAGTTGCCCCAACACTACCACCAAAATGCATGGCTTTTCTCCATAACATAGAGAATATAGCATAAAAGTAATGGCAGATCACACATACCTGTATGACTCGCATGTTTAGTCCGGTCTCTTGGGCCAACTGTTCCCTTATATGTCTCGTGGGCTTCGGTGTGGCGGCGAAGGCGGCCTTCAGAGTCTCGAGTTGTTTGGCTTTGATGGTAGTGCGCGGACCCCGGCGTTTGGTACCTCCCGGTTGGTTCTCGTCGTTGCCGGCGCTGTTAGATCCGGACGCGTGTGTCGGTGACGTGGGATCAGTGCCGCCGTTCGTGCCGTTCGGTCCACTGATACCCGAGTCGCTCATCGAACTGCTGGCAGACATCGGGGAGCTCTTGCTCGACATGATGGCCGAGTGGTGGCCCGACCCGCGCCCGATGCTGCTCAGGGATGGCAGCGGACCCATGCCTAATAAATTATCCTCTTCATGGTCAGAGTCGGCCCCATGCGGTCCGATGTCTAGCTCTGGCGGACTAACTATACTGTCGTCTAAGTCTGGCTCACCGGGAGATCCGGCGGTTAATACTGTTGGGCATAACAGAGGGGAACACATGTTAAGACAATAGAGTCAACAAATTATGGATTACATGAATACAAGAGTAGAAACTAATTGCAAACCACAAGACATAGAGTACAGCATCTATTTTATGACAACTTCTCTCGTAAACCAGTAAAACATTTCTTATTATAACCAAAGAAGAAAACAAATCGATCATAAAAAGTGAAGCCGGATCTCTATGAACGTTATGAACAGTACACCTAAATATTCCCTACCAGTCCCCCTTGCAAATGATGTACAACATGATGTCAGACATGGACATACACTACTGGTATTATATTATGAATTGCTATTCGATTATATATAAAATGTAAAGCAATTGCCGAAACATCACACACACACACCACCACTAAATCCTAAGGCATTTTTATTATCCATAAACTATTGGCGACTCTTATTCATACAGTTCCTACAAGTTCCTGGCAGTCGAGGCACTGTATGTGTCTTTACAATCGACGGTAATATATGAGCGAAAACTTCATTTCTCACTCGTTTACGTCACACTCAATGACCAAAACTCATATCATTTCACGTAAAAAGTTACCGGTTTTGTCATTCAATGGCCGTATATGCGAGTGAGCGCCGGCATTAAATCACAAGACCAGTGTTGCGACCATTTTTCACAAACCATTCAAAAGGGGAAAAGTCTTTTCTGGTGCTCATCCGCGTGCGAGCCCTCACTCTATCAAACGTCTGCCTAAAAGCCCACATATTATCTCATAATATGATATAATATATGATTTTGTCTGCGAATGACACCAAAAATGTTTTCAATGATATCGTAATGTTTGTTAATATTTTGTGTGTGTATTCTCTGCGATATATAAACCTAATGGCTATACAGGAGAGCGAGATTTTTCTCGACTAATGTCTCGCAAAACTGGAGGTACATTAGCCATCAAGAAGTGAACCCAATAGGAGGTACTGGCGTTCAAGACGCTGACAGGTATCACTGTGTGTGAGAAACAGTATTTTTCGGACAAATGCTATCATTTCCGCTAAACTCATCATATATTCACTCAATATATATACACACATACAGTGTGTGAATACATCAGAGATTTGTTCAATAAATTATCGATTGGATACGAAAAAATTTATGTTTTCTTGTATTTGTCGTGTATTTCCTAAAAAAGAGTATTTAAAACTCAAATTTTGTTGTTTTTTATTATGTTTTTTTGGAAATAATAAATAATTAAATTCACACACAGAAAACATTGCTAACAATAAATTTGATAAGAAAATGATTTTTCGATTCAACACAACCACAAAAAATTAAATCATTTTCTTCTTTAGTAGAGAAATTGCTATTTTCCTAAACGTTTATTACAATTCATTGTATGCCATAATATATGCCTTTTATTGATAACTATTAATATGAGAGATTCTGTATTATATATATGCCATCATTATGTGTTAACCACAATAGAGGGTCGAGTTTATAATGTTTGGCGTTTGAGGTTAGGACTGCGGGAAAAATTATTTTGCGATGAGTTTTAAAGTATGCATTTTTTCGCTATTAAAATGCATGTTTAATATATTTTTTTTCTCAACAAATATTCCCAAAAAGTATGCATAAAATAGTGGCACAAACTCATGATTTTGGTGGAAGTATTTCGCGATGGGAAAGGGGGGTCGACAGCGATGGCAGTGCAGTAGCGCTCGGAGGATAGCCTTATAATTGTATAGACGAGGGATTGAGAGGTGAAAATTCAATGGCAACCACGACGTGGTATCGCCATAACCATCAGTCCATCACTACTACCGATAATTATATGGTTGGCGTTGGTTTTGATGAGCATATTATTAATTAGTAATAATAAAATGTTTTGCACCACAATTCTCTCCATAATATATAATTATAGTCTATGTTATGGTGCAAAAAAGTGGAAGTTTTTATGATACATCAAAATGGTAGAGATCAAAAAATCTATGGCCACTCACTTACTCAACACTATCGCCACTGTACACAGTATTCACCGTAAAAAATATAAGGTCTGTAAGCTTTAGTGTCAGCAAATGCATGATCTCGAGTGTACAATATATGATAATAGCATAGAGTATACATAACATTTAATCTCTCTCTCTCTCTCTCTCTCTCTCTCTCTCTCCTCCCCTAACCTCTCTATGATCTCTAGACTCGCTCTCCACTGAATCGTATTTTATTTGGACGAGTCTTACCCTTATTTATCTTAAATAGCAAACCAAATAAATCTGAATATCATATACTCTGAGGTAGTGTTATATCAAATGTAAATTTTGTGCTTCATATGAATGTGAATTACATAAGTATACATTTCTGGTGCACTCACAGCGATATTCCATGTGATTCATCAAAAAACCGACACAAGATTATTGAAGATAAAAAACATTTTGTTTGTTTTACAGACTCGGTGTATGTAATGACAAATTATTGATAAGATATGCAGAAAATCGTAATTTTGTTTTGCTTTTCAGTGCCAAAAAACACTGAGAATGACTGCAAACACCGAAAAAACAGCACTAAATGTTTGGATGCGTTTAAGTGTCAGAATTCAGAGTCAATTCTCAGTGATTGAAAACTATTACATTTGAATCCAAATGCCATTATTTAATTCCTGACTCCTATGTATGTAGTATTGCTTCGGAAAATGTATTCCCAAATGAAAAATATACTGAATAGTTTTTCTACTGAATTAATTTCGTGAAATTTACTTAAAATAACCATTACTTGGATTTTGATAGATTGAGGAATAATAATAACAAATAATAATAATTGCATTAAAAAACTAAAAAACTTCACAAAAACCAAAAGATTTACAGCGAAAAACACAAATCCATTTCTAAAATCACAAAAATGAATATTTATGCGAATATTCAACGGGAATATCATATATGAAGTCATTATGATTGTAGAAATTCTAGTTTCAGATAAACTTTTAATTAAAAGATAGGATTATCTGTCTATAAATATTCGCCAACAAAACTAAAAGGTAAGCAAACAAAAAATTGTTGCCCAAAAAATAATTGAATTTAAGGTGAAAACACACCATATTTCGTAGTGAATTGTCTCGCGAAGTGAGAGTAGGCACAGACACAGACAAGGACTGACCCTTTTTTCTGCAGCACAGGTACTTTTTGCTCTGAACACTTTTGGTCATTAATTAACTGCAAAAATATTTGTAACAAAAGGAATTTCTATGGGATCGGCAGGAAATGTGTGGCGAATACGCTATAAACAGATATACTTTTAATATATATATACTAGCACCATTATACGAGTTGCTAATAATTACATGAATACAAGTAATTATTATGTGATTAGAAAAATCTTGAAAAAATAACACAAACACCACTTCTAACAGCCAATTAGAGTTTGAATCACAATTATATGCGCTCGTAATTTGCGAAAATTTATAATTGCCAAAAACTTTTATTGGATGCCTCGTTATTAATATATTATAATTAATGAATACTTATAGTATGTACCGAAATCATTATAAAAAATTAACTTCAATCATTATTACAATTTATTACGAGTATAAAAAACTACTGTACTTACTAATATCCCAAAATGATGTAATTTTAGATATATTTTTAAAGCTTAAATGTAATATTGAATCTAAAAATTTGACTGAAACTCCATTAATAGGAGATTTTGAGTTCAATTTTTATTTAAATTTATTATAATTAAATGACTATTAATCTAAGATAGAGATTAATCAGTTTTACATATAGTTAAGTTTAATTTATCAAAAGTTAACATTTTAAAGAATTATTGATAAATTAACAAAGTTTTAAAAAATAATATTATTTCAAAATACCTACAATTCTATTATTAATATTAATATACTGTATTAATATTATATTTATAATTATCACATAAAAACAATCGTAATATTCTGTTTAATATAATATAAGTTATGAATGTGAAAAAATAATTTTTTACGTGTAAAATATTTTTGAATCAAAGCGTAAAATTGGATTAAATTTATTGTCTAAACAATAGAGCAATGAATTTGAGAGAGAGAGAGAGAGAGAGAGAGCGAAGTGGGTCTGAATTAACTCTTAAATAGTCTGTCGTAATAAGTGGTGTAAAAAAGAGGGTTTCAATGGATAATAAACAATAATAAGCGGCTGACCACCCAATGAGCTTATATTGTGTGTATTGAATGCGAGAGAGAGAGAGAGAGAGAGAGAGAGAGAGATGTGATCATTGAATAACACAAACAATCGCATTGATTAGCATTTAAACAAAAGCCCGTAACTCAAGACAACTTTGCCGGCACTTCCTTTTTGTTGAGGCACAGGTATGTTATTAAACCCTTTTTTAGATTCACAATTTTCTCTCGTACTCTCAATCACTTGCATAACACAAACGAGTGGAGAGATTGAGTACTATTTTTTGCAATGATGTTTTTTATTGTGCAAAGCGTATGGGCACAGAAAAGTTGAATGTTTGAGATGTGAACATAAGTAGATAATCGATAGCTAAACGCTGGCTTACAATCTAAATGTGAGCGCATTGTTGAGCACCGGGAGAGAGAAAAAACTCGCCTTAACGACAATAGGCTCTGGAAAAACAAAGGCTAACATAGCATAATAGACAGGCATTTATTTTATGTGTGTGTGTTTGCCATATATTGCCAGCTCTTATGTTGAAGTAAAGGCTTCTCTCGGTATCTGTCTATCTTTCTGTCCATATATTTCTAACTCTAAACTCAATGGCAGCCGATATTAGTAATCGGCAGCAATACCGATAGCACTGGGCGTTGAGTTTTCATATGTTTTATATGGTGCATATATTGGCAGTTGTTTAGTGTGTATATATATTCTGTATATATCTATGAGTGTGTATATATATATACAGTGAGCGATTCTGTCAGAGCAAAAAATAAAATAGAGAGAAAGCTTTAAGACTATGGCTGTGAAGCCTCTGAACTAACTCTGCAAATGCTTGCCTCCAAAGCGTGGGAAAAATAGCCAACGGTGTGGTTGTGTGTGTGAGCACTGGTAGTATATTCTGTATGTTATGTGTGCTATGTTTTAGTGCTATCTCTACACCAACTTTCATGCAGTAGTTATTCTCTAAACTTTATTCTCTCTGACACACAAAAGCAAAGGTATACTCGCTATTAGACTACAGTGAGAGACATGAACTGCTGCACCGGTAGACCAACTAAAACTGATCCTATACACACTCAATGCTACACACAATGTCGTGTGTGTGTGTGTGTGTATTGCCCACAAAAAAGTGCTTTCAGTTTATGCTTGGAGTTTGAGTTTAACTTTTATTTTTCTCTCATTTTAGTCATACAGTAGTGAACAGTATTATTGTTCTGTTATAACAGCGCCAGTGTTGGCCACAAATCAATAGTTTTTGGTGTAATAGTAGTGTAATTGGGATTCACTTTTATAGCCATCAAAACTACTCTATTGAGTGCTGACGAGAAGAGAGAGAGAGAGAGAGAGAGAGATTGGCAATTGTGCTATTGTTTTGCGCTACCGTTTCGTGTGATGCCATACATATCATAACTACATGTGTTTGCATATGGTTTGCATGTCTTCATGTCTTGTTATCAGAAAAAATTGCTATTATTCTCCGCAAAATGCAATCTCTGTGTCAATGCATTACAACAATTTTCGCTCTTATTTACAAATAGACAAATAGACACTAATCATATTCAAAATAACACGACCAGAAAAATAGTAGCAAATTATAAACTCATCGGAATGTAACTTAAAATATACAAACATATATTTTCTCGATAAAAAACTGCATACATAAAATACTGTATATTCCGTGTTTCGATAGCATTGCTATATGAATAGGAATATAATAACAAGAATTTCTGCTAACAAATGACTTGACGTTAGCTTTTTATTTATATGATTTGCCAAATGAGAGGTGTGGTTGTGGTGGCAATGTTCGGGTGCTTTATTGCATTGCGTGCCAATTAAAGGCACATTAATTTGTATTGCTTTACAATTTCACTTATCATATCCCGATTCATATTTTCATACGAGAAAGCCGTGCGAAACACAATATATTTAATATATTTGTTTCAAATAACACTACAATAACTCCATATCACGTAAGAGTTATTGAGCGCTAATTCTTAGGGCTATAATTGGCTTATAAGTGGTTTGTATTTAGTTTATACAGTTGCGAATTGAATGGCCGTAAAGTGGGTGACCACTAAATATACACATACCTTGGTTATGCCTACTGGTCATGTAGTCCTCTTTGCAAACAAACCTATTCTCGTCGAGTATATAAAGCTCTTCGCCCGTCGATAACTGCTTCCGACAAACCAAACACGTGAAGCATTTCAGATGAAATACTTTACTGCGGGCTCTGCGCACCAGATCCGTGGGTAGTATACCCTGCGAACAACCGGAACACTTTGTCCCAAAAAGTCTGAAATACGAGTAGAAATCAATATTATTCAAAACGAGTGAAACACAATTTTTGTTTTATATATTATATTATATTATATATGTATGAATCGTGTATAAATCAAAAGCGCGAATCAGTTTTGCATTCCGTTCAGCGTATCTATCATTAAAACTCTATTAATTATATTCAGCGCAAGAATTTTCAAAGTCATTCAAAACGGGGAGAAAGAGAGAGAAAAAATATTTGAGAAATGTTTGGCACCAAAATAAATGCCAAATGTGTGTTAAATGATAGCATTAAAGGGAATGGGTGTCACAAACACGGCTCAGACATTAATTTTTTACGTAATTTTGGCATAAAAAAATTGTCGACTCCAGGAGCACAGGTAGGTTTCTCTCTCGCTCGCGATTGTATGGTACGAGTGAAGTGTCTGTCTGTGTTTGACTCCTGTATGGTATGTATGTATGTGTGAGGTATTGATGCCCTAATGATCAGTTGTCCCATTGATGTCATGATAATAATAGCGATAACTCGTGTTTAGCATCACTTTGAATAATAATTTGTGGTCTCTTTGTGTGCACACATTTCCTGCCAGCGCTCCGGTAGGACTGGCATATCGCAAGTGAAGTGTGGTGTAGCAAGCATAGTTTTGTTTTTTGAGAGCAATTTTTTATTACTATTATATCGCTTATTATAATATGTGTTTTCATTGAATTGACATTTTCTATGAATGTGTCGACACTATTATTCTGCAGTGTTATGAATGAGTGGGGGGAGGGGGGAGAGCATCGGCGTGTAGTCAGTCGAGCGCCTGGCGTATACGACAACTGTATGATTGTAGCGCTAAACGCTTAAATAAATTATTGGTATTACGCCAACTTGGTAATTTTTAAAGGGTGACGAGAAAATGAATGGCCCGAACCTGTCGGCCCTCATAGGCACACACATCTAATTACAATGTATGCCATTCCTCTGTGTCTATGCTTTCTGTGCACAGAAATTCTTGTCACGAGTTTTTTGCTGTCATTTCACTGACAGTTTGGTTGCAATTCTTGACTCTCTTTTGTTTCGTCGACGAGAAGTGTTTGGCACGAAATGGTTCGCATCGGACAGGCATTTGTCGCCATACCGTTCACTGTATGGTTAGTTCAGGCAGCGGAGGCACAGCACCGGCACATACATCTCGAGCAGAGCACCGGCACAGCACATCTTATACGCTAGCGTTCACTATACACTTTGGGTTAGTGACAACTGTTGACAACACTTGCGAATTACAAAAATACTCAGCGGATAAACACCGAGAGAGAGAGAGAGAGAGAGAGAGAGAGAGAGAGAGAACCGGGCATTAGTTGCAAACCACTAGTAATGCTGGCATATCATGGCATACAAGTGCTCGTCAGTCATGAGTGCCGTCTCTTTTGCCGCTTCCCTTCTTAGACGACTTCTGAGCCGTATTTCAATGCCAGACGCCAACAGTTTGGACTCAGATTCGGGGGTAAGGGATCTGTGTGTTGGGGTTGGGATGCCTTTCATTCACGAATGCATGTCCACTACGAGGACAGATCCGGACTGTCAGCGAACTGTGAAACGCTCTTTTGGCACAAGTAGTCGGCTATACAACTAGCAAATGAATGTCCTAAAAGTGGGCCTAAACTCCCCATTTATTCAATGACTCTCTTTATATGCATTTGTTCACTCATTTTCGCAGAACTGATACAACGGACCAAAACATTTGCAAACATTTTTGAAGTTCATTTGAAACACTCATTTTGGTGATTATTATTTGCAACGTCTGTTTTGATGAACACTTCACTCGCTACTACTTCCCTCACTCTCTGTAAAGACCCGTCACTTATAATTCATTCCTCCGGCTGAACGTAACGTCGGTTTTATAGACGGGTCGTGAAACAGCGTACGACTGGTAGCCATTATATTAGGCTATTATATGAATATAAGTCGAGTCGTGATTATATTTCTCTGAGTAATTCGCGTCCACCGCCACCACCGGCACTGGTATTAAAGAATCATTTGGGGAGTGGAAGGGGTGCTCAAGTGGTTGAAGGTGTAGGGGTGGGCTGTGCGCCAGTATTTTGGCCCACTATGTAATGATCGCTTGAAAGTAATAATACACTTAAAAACAATCATTAAGTCGATTATCGCGAGAGAGTATGAGAGAGAGAGAGAGAGAGATAGAGTGAGTGCGGGTTAGAGAGAAAAATGAGTACCATTTTTGAGAAACCCAAATAATAGTGATGTTTTTGGATTCAACACTATTTAACTACCGATTGTGTAATATTTTCATTCAGCAGAGAGAGAGATAGAGTGAGTGCGGGTTAGAGAGAAAAATGAGTACCATTTTTGAGAAACCCAAATAATAGTGATGTTTTTGGATTCAACACTATTTAACTACCGATTGTGTAATATTTTCATTCAGCTCCCTTTCCGGAGGCGTTTTTATTGTAAGTTGACAAAAATCTAGATAAGACTTATATATATATATAGTTGTGTTTACACAACAGATAATTAACACCACGTCTTCACGAATGTTAGCATGCCGACTACACATATACTAAAACACATCAAAAACTATTTTTGATGTCAATTCTAAAACACCGAGAATTCCAGTTGTTATTATACAACTGAGAGGGGTCAGTGCACTACTACCTCCTTGTATACCATTCCCCGAAACTGTTGCTCCATTTGTGACTTGACTTTTAATACTCATAACTTATATTCAAGTGAGAGACAAGTCTTAGCCCTCTCGACGGCTAAGTCTGATAATCTCTGATCCAGTGTTTTATTTGATCGCAAATTTCTAAATGTCATAATAAAAATAGTTTACATTTTTGTCGGAGCCTTACACTCACTCAACAAATATCTTAAAACTCATAGGAATTTAAAGGGAAAACAATTAGATGATGTGTTTGAAACAACTTTCTCTCTCAACTCATCTGTGAATGCAATCATAAATTTGTTTTGAATACACTAATCGTTTTGTAATCACACAAAAACATTTAATTGATTTTTAGTAGTATAGTAAACAATAATAATGTTTATTGGTTAAGTATGTATGTATGAATAGTTTACGAAAACATTAGTGCTATTTTCATGTATATTAAGTAAAAATATTTGTTATTATTATTAAAAGGAAAAGAAATTACTGACTAAATGAGGAAAAATTTTATTCAAAAAAAATTATATCAGAAAATCAGTGTTTTGTGAAATCGAGAATATGATTGCTTTTGACAAAAATCGATAAATTTTCAGAAAAATCATATAATATACGGTGTGTAAAGACGACAACAGTTTTGGTCATAAGTTTTTTCAGAGAAACTAATTTTCTGCTTCTGAATGGGAATAATCATAAAAAATAGTAAAATAATCATAAGAGGTATGATATAGTGGTTAGCAGTAGTAGTGATGATGGTATACACTTAACGATAATATTTCTATTTTTTAATGACAAAAGCTCGAACATAAAAGGCCCTAAAAAAGCCTGTAATGGCTATAATCGCCAATTATAACAATTGACCGCTTGATGACTTTATTTAGCGATTATTATTATCTGCTTTTATGTCTATCTCTGAGTTGTATCCCATTTTATATACCACACAATTCATGGTTCAGGTCTTAGCTTTAAATACTAATATTACTTTTAATGTGTTTCATTTAAAAATAGTCATTAGTTTTATAATAATATTTAATTCAAATCGAAATTGTTATTATATTCTCGTATAATTGGAAATATTATGACAATTATAGCCAAACAATTGGATCGATAATCAAATTAAAGTTCACCTCGCTATGTGTGATTGAATTGTAATAAATAGTGTCATTTTGGTTTGCCGGTAATAAAATATATATTAAGTTATTATAATATTATTGTAATATTGACTACTATGAGTCTATACTGAATAACCTATGCTTTTGTAATAAATGAGAATTAGTTGTAAAAAATGAATAAAAACTAAAAATGATTTGTGAATCGAAAGTGAGAATTAATTTCATACACAATCTTCACATAACTTCAAAAAACATAATTTAAATCACAAGCCTTAAAGCAAATAGAAATTTAAATTTTTTAAAGCAAAATCAAAATCTTAAGGATTAAAGGCATCGCAAATATAGTCATCACTTGTATTGTGTTTTGTTGTTTTCTGGCGTAAATCGTTTGCATTAATCTTATCGAAAGAAATAGTTATTTGAGAGAAGATTTCATGTATTGATGCGGAAGTGTTTGATGGCGTGATTCAGTTTATTACTAATACTTATGATATAAAAGTATTTACCACCGAAAACAGTGGTATTTTACTCATTCAACACACACATACATAGGACAGGCAGTTAGTTGTCTGTCTGTCCAATAACTTATTCGCGAAAAAATTATAGATTACAGCAATTTATTGTATTTTAGAGTTGGAAATCATTTTGAAGCCATTCTTCACCATTAAGTGCACGAGAATTGAGTGATAGAGGGATTCAATGCATTGAAACGCTTCATTCAAATCATGAATATGTGGAACACATGTGATGTGTATTTCAGGACTAAATTATGGTCTAAATTAAGCCAAAATGTGGTCAAATGTATCGTGCAATCACTCAACGCTTTTATTATCCGTAGAAATTACATGAAATACTTTATATGATTCAAAAGTAAACCTCTTTATTGTGTGTGGAAACACACAAATATTTTATACGTGCATTTGGCAAGTTGTGAAAACTTATTTCTCAATGTATTGTTTGAAATTAATAAAAACTATTTAATACATTTTATAGTGTAGCGTATATTTTAAGGAAATATATAAATCTCTTATTTCATTGAATAGAGATTTATACAGTGGTCGACACAATCTAAATGCCAAAATGTATTCCCAAAAAGTAGTTAAAAGCTATTTTTGGCGCAAAAAACTTTTTAAATGCCATAAAATGTGACACGAGTTTAGATAAAACATAAATTAGTTATACTAAACAAATGACTACATGTTTCGCCTAAACGTTAAAAAGTATTTTTAAAAACAAAAACCACTAAAAACAGATACATTTAATATACAAGCAACACGTGAACGGAGTGGCAATTCTGTAACCACCGGACACACGAAAGTAAGCGCGCAAAAAAGTGTCCAGCAAGAAATTGATACGAAAAAAATGAATGAGCAAGGCAACGCAAACTTACTTAAAGAAGTCGTTCCGGCAATAGAGCTTTCCCTCTCTGGAGAAGCACTTCTCCTGAAGATTGGATTTACACTCTGCACATTGCACACACTTTGTATGCCACGAGCGGTCCAATACATTCAATAGGAATCGGTCCAGAATTGGTAGATCACAACCGGCGCATACAATCATTTTCATTTTGGACAAACCATACGATGAGTCCCTTTTATTCTGCCGCATAGCCACCCGTTTACCATCGATGCGAGCGCTTTCTGGCTCAGAGTGGTGTGTGAGTTGGGAACCGGTAGGGCCGCCCATACTAGCGCCTGACGCACTGGCCATGGGGTGGAGCGGCGCATGACTTCCCACCACCACATCCACACACATCTTCGCCATCCACTCCATGAAACTAGTCTATGGATAGTATATATACCAGTATTATGTGTGTGCAGTATAGCCTTCTCTCCCTAACATACCCTCTCACTCTATCTCTCCCTCTTTCTCTCTCTCCCTCTCTCTCTGTGTTCATCGATATATAATACACTTCTGAAGAGGTTTTGTGGTCATAAGACACACTACAAGAGTTTGTATGTGTTGTGTGCGATCGACACGAGACCCACAACAATAGGGGGACAGTTAGACAGTTTGATGGACTCCACTCTCACTCTCGCGATCTCCTGTCGCTCGCAAAGTATATAAAAAAAGTTATACAAAAAAGTCTGCATTTCTTTCATACGACGAGACACTCATAGCGCACAACACTTCCAAGAAATTGCAAATTTAACTCAAACTTTATGTTAGGATTCCGTGAATTTCACACAAAAAAGCTACGAATTTATTGTCGGCTTTTGTTTTGAATACGAGTTACAAAAATCATATGAAATGACATTTATTGACACTTTTTTAGGAACTACTTGACCCCAGCCCGGAATTATATCAGTAATATAGGGTTTGCATGTATTTTGTGTATTATCTGTATATTTCGTGTACAGCACCGGGGGTTCTCTCAAACTTATGTCTTCAAAGTTTATTTTTCTCTACTTTTTTTGGTTTGCTTTTTAGACTCATTCTCGGCGTCCGAATCGGTCTTCTTTTATATTGTTTTCGTGAGCTCTCTCTCCGCACTTCAAATTGTGTGCGAATTTATACCTAATTTTCTATTGTATTTGAATCGATACACAAAAACAAAATTCATGGCAAAGTAGAGAAACACACAATTCTTTACAAAATCTCTCTCTCTCTCTCTCTCTCTCTCTCTCTCTCTGCAGAGAAAATTTTAAAATGTTTGAACTCTAACACTGAACACATTTGTCAATTTAGATATGTATGACCCCTGGGCTCTCTCACCTTCACCTCTATCTCTCTCTCCGTGTGTTTCGAAATATTTGTGTTGTTCTCCGCAGACTTGTTGACCACTCCATGAGTTACCCCTTTAATAGCGATCGAAAGTTATGGATTTGTAGGTATTTGTTGCAAAAATAACTTTACCGCCCCTTCCATTGGGTTCGTTGGGGACCCGGATATCTACGGTTTGTCTCATTTCTCTCACTCACTCCAAAAGTACCTCCAATTCCGAGGAGAAATCAAGTGTTTGTATGCAATAAATTATTTATTAGACAAAGCATTGAATGGTATGCATTAAATACGACTCATTAATTGTCGATCACTTTTGTAGCTAATGGTCAATATTTGATTACAACTCCACTTATCATTGTGTTTCAAATATAACATGAAAACGTATGACACAAACAGTTATTGATTTAAACATTTCCATAAAAACAATATTTCAATATATAATTTTTAAGGTTACACTCGCAATAAATTATGGAAACAACAAAATTTAAAACATAATTATACAACATTTCAAACAAACCAAACAATAGGGAACAAATATTTATAAGAAAACATATATCAAAACATAAGTATTGTTAGTGTTATTATGTTTCTGTACTACTATTACGAAAATGGTTTGACTTTATTGCGAATTCTATGCTTTTCTCGTTTAAAACAATAAATCTTTTTCTAACAAACTTTCTGTTGTGTTAAGTATTTGATAGAATTTAAATCGCCTCCTATTCTGATTGATAGGAATGCCTACAAAATAAGTCTAACGACTAAACAATGAACTTCTGAGGGATAAGAATGTCTGTAGGAGTGAATATAGCGTTGAGAGAGAGAGAGAGAGAGAGAGAGAGACTGGAAGAGAGTAAGTTAGTGGAAAGAGAGTTATATATTTTATGAACTCATTGAATGGTAGGGCATATATCCTATACTGGAGTATATGTGTGACTGTATTGACAATAAAACGATAGCGATCTATGAAAAGGCATCAGAAAGAGGATGGAAAGGATGAAAACTCATCGCATGAATGTTGTAAAAGTCTGTATGGAATGACACAAAACTTTTCCCGTTTAGGGATTTGTATTTGTTGTCACTTACGAAAGCCTTATCTTATTTCCTGCATATGACACGACATACAAATTCACGTTAGAGGTATGTATTATAATGATTATGTGTGCAACACATGCCTGGCCTGTCTTCGCTGTATGTATGTGCTCTCTCTCTCTCTCTCTCTCTCTCTCGTCTTTAAGCATATCTCTCTCTTTTGTGTTTTATTCATGTGAATGAGTTCTGCAAACAAATGCTATGCAATGGCTATGACTATGAAACTAAACAAACACAAGATATCGATTCAAAAACTCGAGAGCCAAGCAAAGCATCACACACTCTATGCACTGGTAATCGTATGTGTTATGCAGTATGGGTTATGTGAGTGTGTATGTGCTCTCTCCTATCAATGAAGTTTTATGAGAGAGAGAGAGAGAGAGAGAGAGAGAGAGAGAGAGAGATGCAAAAAAAATTGAGATCAACTTCAGCGCAACGATCAGAGCACGACTTCAAACACTGAGCCTATGGCATAGATATTTGCCTTTCAAAATATATTCCGCACACAAACTATTGCTATACCACTACACTCTAACACCCGATCCCTTTTGCTCTCAACTCTCTCATCCTTTATATACAGTATATAAAAAGAGACGAAATATTTATTCACTAAAATTTTTATCGATTAGTATGAAAGCGAATACTCAATCAATTCCTAACGTGTTATTATTTTTTTGGAAAAAATATTTTTTATAAGAAAAACATATTTTATAAGAAAATCATTTTTTAAAAATAATAAATAAATATTGAATTATATGTAAGGGTTTATTATATTCAATATTTTACAAAAATCTGTGATTTTATGTGTATGTATTAACGGGATGTGACTGTGGGATGAAATGAATGAAATAGGAAAACACGTATCAATAGGAATAGGAATACTGTATATAAATCCTATGCATTCCACTGGGATTTTCCACTTCTGTTGGGTCAATCACACACTCTATGCACTGGTAATCGTATGTGTTATACAGTATGGGTTATGTGAGTGTGTATGTGCTCTCTCCTATCAATGAAGTTTATATCTGAAGAGAGAGAGAGAGAGAGAGAGAGAGAGAGAAAGAGATGCAAAAAAATTGAGATCAACTTCAGCGCAACGATCAGAGCACGACTTCAAACACTGACGCCTATGGCATAGATATTTGCCTTTCAAAATATATTCCGCACACAAACTATTGCTATACCACTACACTCTAACACCCGATCCCTTTTCCTCTCAACTCTCTCATCCTTTATATACAGTATATAAAAAGAGACGAAATATTTATTCACTAAAATTTTATCGATTAGTATGAAAGCGAATACTCAATCAATTCCTAACGTGTTATTATTTTTTTGGAAAAAATATTTTTTTTATAAGAAAAACATATTTTATAAGAAAATCATTTTTTAAAAATAATACATAAATATTGAATTATATGTAAGGGTTTATTATATTCAATATTTTACAAAAATCTGTGATTTGATGTGTATGTATGTATTAACGGGATGTGACTGTGGGATGAAATGAATGAAATAGGAAAACACGTATCAATAGGAATAGGAATACTGTATATAAATCCTATGCATTCCACTGGGATTTTCCACTTCTGTTGGGTCTCTCTCTGTATCACAACTTTTTTCTCTCTTTCTCTCTCTGAGAGTCTCTCTCTATCTCTCACTCTTCAGATATAAACTCTATTTGGTTTCTGGAAAACTCGTATAAACTGTTAGTCCTGTTATGCAATCACACAATACAGTCGAGAGTCGGAGAGAAATATTTTTACATCGACTATAGATATGGCGTTTGGAATACAATTAAATGCCTTTTCTTTCGCCTAAAGAATTCAAATATTAAGACATTTTTTACATACGATTAATGCATTGGAAGAGACCAGAAATGCCTTATATTTTATGCACGAAACGACTGCAAAATATTTAAATGACTGTACGAGAGATGATTAACAACGGGTTTATATACAGAATAAATTTTAGGATTTTGGAAAGAGGGCTTAGGATTTTGTTGAGAGGGATTGGGATATATGGCATATGAATGGCGGAGAGGTATGTTTGAGAGCAGGTCTGCGGTGGTGGTGGCAGAGGGCCCGATGACAGGGATATTTTGAGATGACGTTTCATAATCTCCGGCATTAACTCACACGAGAAGATCTATGAGTGTTGTGTCGATTTTGGGGAATTCATGTCTCAGGGGTCGGTGTTTTGATACTCTTATATAAGTTATATTGCGAGAGAGAGAGAGAGAGAGAGAGAGAGAGGGAGAGAGAGAGAGAGCCGACATATAAAAGGTTGACTTCTCTTTTATGTCAAATCAATTTCTGCACAAAATAAATACTTGGATATTGGTGTATGAAAAGTATTGGGGATATATTTTTAAAAGCATTTAATATTAAAAATCCATAATATTTTATATTTAGAGATTGTTTTGTGGGCAAACATTTGAACAAATAATTCATTTTGGTATACACACTCAAAAATACATATACAGTGCAATATATAAATATTAATTATTTAATAAACCAGTTTAAACTCGGAGTGCATTGTATTATATTTCTCACTCTCGCAAACGTATTGTGCAACTGAAGTGTGAAAAGTATATTTTCTAAGATATAATTGCATTTAATTCCCTTCCAATACCCCATAAGTGCATAAAAATTGAGTTCAAAATTGTGTTTCTCACACAATATTTTTGTGCTGCACTTCACTATTACACTACAGAATTGCATTCCTGTCCTCCAGGAGTGAATAGAGTAGTGAGAGATGTGTTGTGTTTTCTAGTAAAACATGTCATCTCCACATGTTTTGATTGAAAGTAAAGTCCTTTTCAACACAGAATTTTCACTCGTCTTTTATTCGCCTCCAATACACTACAAGTG